ACTAAGATCATTATAACTATTCGGGTAAATTTTCTTTATATGCGTCCTTACATTAGAAGCTTATAAAAATTCCACTAAGACATTTATAATGGTCCCAAAATCATAAACTACTCTGCAGACGCAATGGATAAGGTTAGAAAAAATATATCAACCCTAACTACAAAACAATAATTTAAAAGTTCGTGATATATCCTTTCACAATACTCTACAGATGATGATGCCAGACATGAAAAGAAAAACTTCAGCAAGAAATTGTACATTTAGTATGAATGTGTCGCTGAAAGGACAGATGGGATTTCCATTGCGTGTAACCACCACTGACCTCCAATGGAAAAGCTTCGAATGTAAGCTGTTGTTTCGAATTGTTGCTGTGTATCAACAATTACAAAAGGAGACTTTAAGCACAGACTGTGTTACAAGCTGTATAAACGGTGATGAAAAGAACGCAATTTAGAACGACTCACCAGGAAATTGTGTATTGTATTTTTCAGGTGACACTACTAAAAAAATAAATAAATTAATTGGATAGCTTGGTTATTTTCGTTTTGATTAACAAAATTATAAAAACGAAACCTTAAGAAGAGTACAGTGGTGAAAAGTATGGTAAAATGTACCATTTTTCTGGCTCCATGTGAACACCAAAATACTCGGTAGTTTTCAATGAAGCTCTTTGGTAATGATTTTGGTAAAACATAAAATATGGTTTTGTAATATGTGATAAAATTTGGTAAATATGGTATAATATGGTATTTGGTAAACTACATTAATTTTAAACTGGAATTTTTTTAAAAAAAAATACATGTTTGTCCCGGGGTGGTTACGAGTTATACCGTACGAGTTGGTTCCTTTCTGTAATGTTTTTATAAAAAAGTTTTTAGCGAGCCGCTGCACGGAAGTTGCCATGACTTCGCGATTATTCTGCCACAGATCAAGATATGGAAATCTCCCCTTTTTATTTCTCACTTCGACCAAAAGAAACGGTTATTATACAGGATTTATTACTTTAAACGTGATATATAGATGAATAGAAATAATAACGAGATGAATTGAAGACAATTTGGAACAGCTTATTAAGAATATTTTTGTTCTTAATTTATATTTTATATGCCTTTCCTACAATTTCAGAGCCGCTTCCACACGTTTTAGCATTCGTTCCACCATTCAAACTATTACAATTTTCTACTATTTCTTTCCTTTCTATGTACTATTTTTTTTACCATTCTGCAATCCATCCTTTCTACATTTTTGCTTGCAGATACCAATCTTTTTGTGTTTTCTGGCCATCCATTTGTGCTGCATTTTTTGCAGACACCCACTTTCGATAACCACTTTAAATTAGCCGAATTCTTTCATTTATTCTTTGCAAAGTTTCTTTATTTATTTCATTGTATTCGTTTAATTTATTTATGAATTATGATAAGAAGCTATTTCTTGCTGTATAAGTCCAAAGATCTTCCTTTAACTCTAACCCCATTCTTTTTATAAATATTTTATTGTGCTGGTTGGTGTTCGATACTTTAATGTGTCCATATTTCAACGTACTGTTAACACTAGGCAGCACAGAGAGGCTTATTATCGATGTAAAAGCAAAAAATCAATATATTGGAAAGAATTGAAATTTGTTCTTGGACCACTTTTTTTTAAAAAAAAAGGGAAATCCCTGGAATTTACACTTACATGGTATGAATTTTATATTTTTATTGTTTTTATATTAATACATAAAATTATTATATTAATAATTTAGATTACAATATGCGAAATGTACCAAAATGGGAAAAAATATAAAAAACTATTTAGCTAATTTTAATTTGCTTTTTAATGATTAATATACTGTTAGAATTTTCATTCTGAAATTCCTTAAAATAAACAGCAGCAGTCTGTCTATTCAATTAACAGAAAAGTTTAAGGTAAAAAACATTTTTACCTTTACGGTTTTGAAACCTTTTACAACTAGTAGGGTGGAAAAGAAACCATGAATACAGAACAATACTGCTTTTTAACCATTTGCAACTAGCATGGTTTCAAAACTGTAAAAACGACATTTAACTGGATATTGAAGCTAGACTTTTCGTTAAATATTTGCTTTGGAGTAAGTTTATGGTTGAGCTGTGTTTTATCAAATGAACCGTGAAATATGATTAAATTAGATTAACTGGCTGTTTCACCCATCGAAAGAGATGGGAATTACTAGACTTTTTGTGTTTAGCAGCATTATGGGGCTGCCATGTATGAGTGAATGAGAGTATCGTAGTCCTGGGTCACAAATTGGTGAGTGCAGAACGCTGGGACTCGCACCCCCGGTTCTGTCGTTCATGAGTTTGAAAGATTAGACCTCTCCACTATAATATGTATTCAGCTGCAAGGAACGAAGTGGATGAACGGTTTCTCTTACAGTTAAGAGTTTGATTACCATCTTATTCATAATTATTAGACTGTTTGAACATGGCAAAATAAAAATTAAATAAATTGTTACTTAATGATCTTTTTTGAGAAATTTTGAGTGTATTAAAGATAAGTGAATTCTTTCTATTAGAACTAAATTTTTTTTGTAGCTCTACCAAAAGGTATGACGTACTTTATTATTATTTTTCTTTTATTATAGTGAATACTTTTTTTATTGCATATTTTAAAATTTTCTTCGTGTATTCTTTTGAAAATATAAATAATTTGATACCTGCATTCAAAATAAGTATGAGTTATTCAGTGATCCAGCGTAGCTCAATAGATTGTTCAGTGTTTTTTATCTCCCTCCAAGTTAAAAATTAATGTAGTGTAAAAAAAAAGAAATGCACAAGGATGGTACATGAATTATTTTCTTCTTCCATCTGCGACCGAAAACTAGATACATAAAATATTTAAAAAAAAGATAATGTAAAAAAAAAAAAATTATTCGTAAGTTTGTAATCTTGTTACTAACGGAGTTAAAAACATAAAACACTTACGAATTTCTAGTACTCTAGCTAAATTAATTAAGATATTAAGATTCTTTTTAATTATAAAATGTGAGATTTTATAGAAGATATACAGTGATTAAATTAGACATAAGATAAAAAAAAATTTCATGTTGATTATACATTTGTTAGATCTTTTCGTATTTGTACAACGTAATATCAAAAAATATAATCCTACAAGATTAAACCTTCATATTTTTCAAATAGTTTTTCCTGCGTTAATAAATTAAAAGTGATATTTTGTATGCAAAACTCAACTTATAAATGCATTTATTTTTTTAAAAAAAACACACACACATTTTGTAATAACGAATCAAGCATTCCACTCCAGAGTTATCAAGAAAATCAAGGTAGAATTCAGAAAAGAAAAACTATCGAAGAATCACTTTATATCACTTATGGAGGATTTTCTTAAAAAAATGCATCATAATTTTGTTAATACTTTTTTCCGAATATATATTATTTGGGTTAATTTTTACTCTCAATTTCTATAACAATGAAAATATATGTTTAAACACTGTTTTTCGAAGCTCTGTCGCCAAGGAAAATTAAAAAGTTATAGTTTAAGTGCCTTACACTTGAAGCAATGCGATGATTTTAAACTATCTAACAATCTAACTAAATCTATCTAACTATCTAAACTATCTAACTAAATCTTGCCGTGAAGAATTATCTGGGCTTTAGAACAGATAAATAACTTAAATATTTTAAAGTTAGTAAACTTTTGCAAATATCGCCAATTTGGCGACATTTTTCCACCTAGATGAAAATTATCAAAATCATTGCAGTATATTCAGTTTTTGCAAATTTTTATGAGCTCCAGTAATTCAGCATTGGAGTAAGTTTTTAAATATTAAAAGATTAGACCACAAACTCTTATCATTTTCACGAAATTGCGGTTTTTCCCCCTATTAAAGTTTCAAAATAAGCGTAAGCAGCGCTGGCTAAACTTGACCTAACAGTTGCAAACTCACAGCAGTTATAAAAATAGCATGCATTATTTGCAAAAAAACATAATTTCGTATTAGCTTTCGAAAAACAGCCTTATATTAAGGGGAGGTGGTAGGGCCTATATCAATAATTCTAAAACTGACCTTTTTCAATGAACCTCTTCTGCGCTAAACAAAATAATACTCCAGTTTTCTTCACAGAATATCTGTATATACACGTTTACACTGTGATAACTGTTAATGCATATCTTTGACAGAATTTTTTAAAAAATTAGGAACAGAGAACTTTTAAATTTATAAAACGGTTCATCATTTTTGAACGAAAGTCTTTCATAATTTGAAATGTATTGGTATTAACGCCAAAACATTGTCACAGCATGCATTTGATATAATCTCAAATATCCAGAAGAATCGATTACATAATATCATAAGTAATTTTTAGGAAAAGGTACATCGAAAAAGGTCAGTTTTGGCCTTTTTGATATATGACCCACTGACTCCCCTAGGTGATCAAAATTAATTTCAAATTAACTTTGGTAATTTATTTAAACAGCTTACCTTTTAGACAATGGAAAATGAATTTTTAATTAATTTCGGTTATTAATTTAAAAATTGGAAGCCCAATTTTACATAGTAAACAAAATAAATCATATATTGAGTAACATGCAAGAAAATACTCGAAGTTATCCCTTTCATTACTAGCATTAATTTTAGTCAGTGCGAAATTAATTCGTACAGATTAAATTGCTGTAAAAAAAAAACAACAAAAAAAAACGGAATTATGAAAAATGTTACAAAAATACTGAATTGTAACTAAAAAGAGTTAAGGAAGCTAAGAAAAAAACAGTCTTTTAATAATCATATCTCATAATAAAAAATTATATACATATTTCTTTTCTTCACTTTTTAAATTAGATAACAAAAACCTAATTAAGTTAAGAGGATTTTCGAATTAATATCCTAAAATCACAAGAGAATATGTTACAAGAATAAAGATAAGTTGTTTCGCATAACACGAAAGAAAATAAAAAAGGGAAAAATAGGGATAAAAACGTTTTAATAAAAAAAAAATAGCGACGGAATAGTATTAAAAACTTACTTTGATAATAGAGAAGAGAATTTCGGGAATTTCCTTTTTTAGTACTTAAAGGGGAAAACACTCCTCGACTGAGGTCCGCTATCACCTGAAGAACAGAAAAAAGAAAATTATAAGAATAATTTCATTTGGGCGAGAGAAAAAAAATTGAAAAACAGGATTTTCATGTTAATTGAATGTGAAAAGGAGAAGTAATATCTTTTGAACAAATTTAATTAACAGTTTTTATTTACAATATAATTTATAAACAGATTTAAGATCTGACTCTACCTTGTATGTGAAATGAAATTTCATGAAGTTTTATTATGTTTAGTTAATTATGAATATTGCATCTCAAATAAATTTTAACAATGCACTCATAATTAGAATAATAAAAATAATACGAGTACGTTTTTTTTTAAACAAAATTGTATATACTAAAATTAACTTTGTTTTATGTTTGTTGGTTAATTCGTGCAAAAATGAGAAGAAGCTTAAACCTAAATAGCAATTTTTTTTTTCCAATTCAAATTCATTAAGTATGTTTTTTGAAGTTCCTTCGCCAACGCAAGCAAATCCCTAATTTTCCCCTTAAACTTGAAGCAAAACTGTAATTTTAAACTATAAGTAATTATTATATTGACGTAAAGATGCTTATGGGCTTTGTAACAAAGAGATAAGCTTGAATATTCAGCAACTTTTCAAGCATTATATAACTAAATAGAAACGCTTTTCATTTTCAGAAAATTGTGTTTTTTTATATTGAAATTTTACGCCATTTTCAAAACTAACGTACGTAGAATAAGATAGACGAAACTTAACAGTCATGAATAACTGTTGCAAACTCATAAAAACTTTAAAATGTCAAATTATTTAAAATTGTAATTTTGAGCCGCTATGGCTCAGGACATAGAGCGTTCGTCTTCCAAAGAAGTAAACCGGGTTCGAATCCCGGCGATATTGGTCAATACACACTCTGCATCACAGTGCTGACGTGAAATATCCTCAGTGGTAGACGGATCATGGATTAGAGTCCCCTTGTCGTCAGGCTAACCGTGGGAGGTTCTCGTGATCTTCCTCTCCATGTAACGCAATTGTGTGTTAGTTCCCTCAAAAAGTCCTCCACGAAGGCAAATTTCCTCCAATACNATATAAAATTTAATTTCGAGTGACGGCAGACACTTTTAAATACAGACATTTTATATTAGTAGAATCCTTGCAAAAATACTATATGGAAAGAAGGGAGTAACTCAGTGGACACAAATAAATATTTAAGGGATTGAAAGAAATGTGAACAAATCCTCTATTATTAGAATTGAACTCTAACAAATCCTCATGAAGATTACGGTTTAACAAAATCTGCTTGCTGCCGGAGGATAGAGAGGAGTGGAAAGGTAATAATTAGAAATATCATCAAGTTTCATCAAGCAGTCAAACAGATTTTGATAATTTCAATTCCTTCTTTCTGATAGCGAGATAAAACTCTTGGTTTAGGGCGTTCACCTCTCAGCGATGTGACTTCAAGTTCGAATCAAAGCAATGACTGGTTGGAAGGAATTCTGCACCAGCTGAGATATAAATATCCTTAGTGGATGTCAGGCTAACCATGGTAGGTTTTCGTGGTTTTATTCTCTATGTAATGCAAATGCTGGTTAGTTCCATCAAAAAATCTTCCACGAAGGCTAATTTGTCTCAATGCTTGATCAAGGAATTCCTTTGCCTTATGGGTTGGGTTTAAAATAACAATTCTACAGAGTTGAAGATTGACAGTCGTAAACTCAGAATTGGGATGGCAGTTCAACACCGGTTATAAAACAAAATAAAGTTCTTACCGCCTCATAATGATTCTCAAAATTTCAGTAATTTGTATTTTTTGCCAACTAACTATCAGTTCCAATATTTGATATAATTGTGTGAATGTTCGTTTTACATATTGAGTTTTCCGACTAGTTCGTACTTAAATTCGTTCGATACGAATAAAATAGAACGCATTTAACAGTCACAAGGAAATATAAACAAAATATCGTGCTTAAAATGAACATGAACTGTTCTTAGAGACATGGGTAACCTTACAGTTTAGCGATTAGAGGATGAACAGATAGCGTTCAGTAACAAGTTTAGTTGAGAGTGGTTGCCATGGCAATCCGCATTGTAAATAGATCAGCTGTTACAATGTAACTTTAATATGTTTTTAAGGATTAAGTAAATCATTAAAATAACAATTTATTACTCAAAGCTATACTTTGATATTTGATAACTTGTAATTTTGAGCGAGGAAGTGACATTTATTTTGCTTAGTTTCTAAATACAGTTGTTAAACTGCAGTTAATAATAAAATTGATTTATATTCTAATACTCTCACTACCATTATCCACAGCATAGTTTATAGTACCATATTTTAATAAGGACCGATGTTGTGATTTCATCTGAACAAAACTATTAAAAGCAACTACACAGTAAAAGTTTTGAAAAAACGAGAAAAAAAATAATTGCAGTTTTTTGATAGTTTATTCATTTAGAATTATTCTACTGAAATATTGAATTGATATTCGTAATTATATGATCATAGATGATTATGATTATATATGATCATAGATGTCACTGAGCGTTCTGTGACATCTATGATCATATAAACTAGTGCGCTCAGTTGATTAATGAATTTGCTCACTTCTAACAAAAGTTTTTAGTAAAATATTGACATTTTATCGATTTTATTGAAATTATTTGTTCAAATTATGTAAGAACTAATGCTACTTTCAATTAGTTGAAATTGCAACTTATTTAGCTGCAAATTTTTTTATTAAAGGCTTCAAAGAGTTTATTTATTGGGAGTTTTATAGCAATTAGAAATAAACGTAGGCTCAGCAGCTAAAGAATATGCTCAAAATCAAAAATACCAGCAGAATTTTGACTGCTACTCTAAAAACATATGAGACGTCACATCAAGATAGGTCGACAACAGAAAGGATTGGACTATCACTTCAGGCAGCTGAAAATTTTGGATACGAAGTATCTTATGGACTTAGAACAGGTAGGGATTTTTTTAATTGGGTTGACTGGTTTTAAAAAAAATTTAAAAAAAATTCTCCCTTTAAAATGTAATGCAAGTGTAACGAATTCAACCATTTGCTTAGTTTTTTCATGAAATTTCCTCAACCAAATAGAGCAATTTTTTATAAGTTATAAATGAGCTAATGGAGGTTATATTTGTTTTAGAAATATCAACCTAATGGTGCATTTTGTTTTTGTGAAAAAAGTTGTAAATATGCTAATTGAGGTTAGATTTGTTTTAGAAATGTAATTTAAAAATAACAACCTAAAAGTGCATTTTTTTTAAAAAAAAGTTATAAATTTGCTAATGGACGTTATACTTGTTTTGGAAATGTATTTTGAAAAGATATTTTTTTTTATTTGCAACAGTTTATCAAATTATGACAAGCTCTTTTTCTGGCAGGTTTTATTAAATATACTATACATCAGAATACAATGAATTGTTTTTAAAAATCTAAAAAATTGCTTCTCGCTATTAGTATTGACAAATTACTTATTCGAAAGAAGAAAGAATTGCTTTTTAAAAACAGTGAAATATTTGTTTCACTGTCAAACATGATTTAAATTCCCAGTTAACTGTGAAAAAAATTTAGTCCGGATCTCAAGTGGGAAAAAAACAAGCCTATTTATAAGGCGAGTTATAAATCAAATTTCTTGCGTGTCTATTCAAGCAAATTATCTAACGGCTGTCGCATAAATCAAACAACTGAAAAAAGTACATTAGATTTTTTTACATGTCTAATGATGCTTGCCTATAAGTCAATTTATTTTGAACTCGGTTAGTTGGACATATAATTGCCGTACTTTTGGGTCATTTTTTATTAAAAAAAATTTTTTTTTTGAGTTATAGGTCTGTTAACTCTTAAGAAACAATAAAGGTACGGTAAGCAAGTATTATGTGTCCGGATTTATGTTAGTGACAGGTGCTTAATAAATGAACAAAAATTATGACTCAACTTTTCTTTAGCGGTGTGTGAAAAGCCAAGGTTAAATATTATATTATGTTCTCATGCATTCGTATAATAATAGCGCATTAGCTTAAAAACCATTACGTAGTAAATTATAAATAGTACTAAATATGACAACTTACATTTTAATTTATAAATTTTTTTCTAAAAATAGTTTTGCGTCGACAAAAAGTATTTAAAATTTTATATTACATTTTTAATTACATCTATGTCTTTTTACATAACAATTTCAAAAAGTTTCAAATGTGTCAAATTCAAAACAGTGGCGATAATTTTATTTTTAATCTGATACAATTCTATTTCTCGGGGTTATAATAAAAAGTTAGCACCACAGAACATAAATAAAGTACCCATTATTACAACACTAGTACAAGATAACTATTAAAGCAATTATTCAACACTGGTATTCATAACAGTGTAATATTTTTTACGTCACCAAAACGGAATAGTATTAACAATGACGAAGATTCTTTCAAATAAGATAAAAAATAGTTTATTAAAAATTTTGGAATTTTTTTTATAAACTACTTTTAACTTATATCGACCGCGGCATTAGTTAAAAATAGTTCATTAAAAAAGCAAACTTATAATTTGGGATAAAGGAAATATTATTAGACTTTATTCTTTTTTCTTACATTTGGATCTGCTCAGATATAATATTTAAATAGATTCATATGTTTTACATAAAAAACAGAGTTTATAAAATTTTATTCTCAATTTCTATAGCAATGAAAATACATGTTTTAACGCTGTTTTTCGAAGCTCTGTCGCCAATGAAAATAAAAAAAAGCTATAGAATTATCAGGGCTTTGAAACAGACACATTACTTTAATATTTTAAAAGTAATTAAACTTTTCAAAAATCGCCAATTTTGCAATATGTTCCCGCCTAGAGGAAAATTATCAAAATAATTGTTTTATTCTCAATTTTTGCAAATTTTTATGAGACCAATTAATTGCAGCATTAGAGTAATTTTTTAAATATTAAAAAATTAGACCACAAACGCTTTGCATTTTCTCAAAACTGTGGCTTTTTTCCATAGTGACGTTTTGCTCCATTTTCAAAATAAGCGTTGACAGCGCCGGCTTTA